GTGGCAAGATCTGAAAACTGCTGTTCACAAACGCTGTCCATCTAATCTGACTGAGCTGGAGCTGTTTTGCAAAGAAGAATTCGGCAAGAATTTCAGTCTCTAGATGTGCAAAGCTGGTAGAGACATACCCTAAAAGACTGGCAGCTGTAATTGCAGCAAAAGGTGGTTCTACAAAGTATTGACTCAGGGGGCTGAATAATTACACACACCCCACTTTTCAGTTATTTATTTGTAAAAAATGTTTGGAATCATGTATGATTTTTGTTCCACTTCTCACGTGTACACCACTTTGTGTTGGTCTTTCTCGTGGAATTCCAATAAAATTGATTCATGTTTGTGGCTGTAATGTGAAAAATTGTGGAAAGGTTCAAGGGGGCCGAAAACTTTTGCAAGCCACTGTATTTGCAAGAAAATACCAATCAGCAACTTTTAAACAGTATTTGAAATAGAATTTGAAATCGATACAAATATTAAGCCTACATTTTTGTTTTTGTGTTAATGTCCAAGCAATGCTGATAACACATTTTCTAAATGCAATATTTAAAAAGAGAACTTGACAAAAAGCTTATCTCATATCTCAAAACATATCTTGGCATGGTGTGCCCAAGTGGACAACCAAACAGAAGATGAACACTATCTAAAAGTCATGTCCTTAAAAAATGGGAAAGAAATCCAGCAAAGACCTGACACAGTATCTAAAAGATGCATCTGAGCCTTTGGATGATCTATCTACTGTTCACTGAAGCCTTAATGGAAACAGTCTTTGTGTAAGGATGTCTGCGAAGAAGTCGTTCTTAAAAAGAGAAACAGGGAGAAAGAGCTGATGCATACCAAAGTACACAAGAACTGGACTGAAGAGTAATGAGTCCAAATTAGAATTTTTTTAGTTCAAATCATCATTTCATCATCAATAGGGAAGATAGGGAACCGATCAGGAGAGAGATGAGTACGAGTGACTATCTACAGGCATCTATACAACATCCACAGATGAGCTTTGAATGTCTTTCAAGAAGTCTGGAGAACTATTCCCGAAGACTACATGAAGAAATTACAAGAAAGCTGCCTGAAATAGTTTTGGTTGTGTTGAACAATAAATGTGGTCATACCATAAATTGACTTTCAAATATATTAGAATTGCACAGACTCTGTTTTTCCTTTATGAATTGTGTTTCCATTTTTGTTTTCACCTAGATTTGTCATTTTTTACTATTATCCAAAATACCATCAACCTGTTGTCATTGCCTAAACTGTAATATCCTAACCTGTAGCTTTGATAAGCTTTATCTTACTGGGAGAAAGGATATGGGAAAATAATGGCAATTCTTTTTTTAGCCTCTTGAGAGGTTTTGTTTTTT